GGGCCCAGCCGCTCCGCGGCATGTGGGATCTTCCCGGACCGGGGCACGAACCCGCTTCCCCTGTATCGGCAGGCGGACTCTCAACCACTGCACCACCAGGGAAGCCCTGTATCAGTTATTTTTAAAATTAAAAATAATCTTCTATTTTTGTAAAGTACCAAAGAAATATATGCTCAAGGTAAAAAAATTAGAAAATAAAGACAATCAAGAATTTTTAAATATACATATTCATCCTCCAGTAATAACCACCTAAATATATAATATTACAAACCTTTTATACAGGGGCATTTACACACATACACACATTTAAAACATGACAATGGGTTTCCCTGGTGGCGCAGCGGTTAAGAATCCACCTGCCAACGCAGGGGACATGGGTTTGAGCCCTGGTCCGGTAAGATCCCACATGCTGCAGAGCAACTAAGCCCGTGCGCCACAACTACTGAGCCTGCACTCTTGAGCCCGTGAGCCGCAACTGCTGAGCCTGTGTGCCACAACTACTGAAGTCCACATGCCTAGAGTCCATGCTCTGCCAACAACAGAAGCCACCACAAAGAGAAGCCTGCACACCACAGTGAAGAGTAGCACCCACTCACCATGACCAGAGAAAAGCCCGCGTGCAGCAACGAAGACCCAGCGCATCCAAAAATAAAATAAATAAAATAAAATAAATTTATTAAAAAAAAATACATGATAATGGTGTAATTCTATTTTGTAGTCAATTTTTCCTACTTTACATTATATTGTGAACATCTTTCCACATGAGAAAAACATTACCTGGATGTACTATAATTTATTTAAACAATCCTCTTAGACATTTAGGTTGTCTCCATTATTTGCTACATGATATTGTAATAGTAAACAGTGCTTTGATGAATGTCCTTATGACTAAATATTTCATTATGGATAAATTCCTAAAATAAAATTATTAGGACAAGGCATAAGGCTTTTAACAGAAATTGCCTTCCAGAATGATTGTGCTGATTTATAATGTCATCCGTTAGAATATAAGTCCTATTTCTCTAACTTATCAGAAGTATTAGATAATTATTAGACAAGCAGAATATTCAATTATTAGATAATTTTTCCAACATTGGATGGGCAAAAAAACACTGTTATTTTGGTTTGTTTCTCATATGACATTCTTTTTCTTTTTTTGGGGGGGGGCAGTTTTATAACTTTCTTTGACAAACAGTGGTCAGTTCCCTTCCACATCACCTGTGTAGATTTCTGAGAATGGTGACAGATTTTTGAAAGTGGTTACCTCCTTGGTACATAGGTAACCAACATATAGAGCTTGTTTGGTGAATCTCCATCATCATTATGTTTTCTGGACAACTGCACACAGATATGCTAGGGGATATTCCTCATATCTTTGGCCCAGACAGCTTTGTTAAGCATAGTGTCAATGAGCACATTGGGAGTTCCCATCTCCTTGCTGGCCAATTTCTGGATCTCTTTGAGTACCTGAGGGGCACACACTTGAAGTCCACTCCAGGGATGTTCTTGTGAGTGTTAGTGGTGTACTACCTGGTCACGACCTGGTTGGTGAGAAGATCGATGCTTCGTCTCACCACCCTTCTTTACAGGAACCATCCTGCCAGGCCCAGGTTGGAAAGGAAGAGCTTGAGGTATTGTCATGAATTTCTTTTTCTCTGTAGGCTTTTAACATGATAATTTCATCTTTTTACTAGTCTTACCAAATGAAAATATAATTTTTTTGCCACAACTTTGGCCTACAATAGCATACTAGGCATAAAAGTGGCAATTTAAGTGATTTCTGTATTCTTAACCTAATTTAACTTTTTAGCTTTAATTTTTTGACATTTTATTACTATTACTATCATTATTATTATTATTATTTTGGCTGTACCACATGGCTTGCGGGATCTTAGTTCCCTCTCCAGGGATCGAACCTGTGCCCCCTGCAGTGGAAGCACAGAGTCCTAACCACTGGACTGCCAAGTAAGTCCCAGTGTTAAATTTTTAGTATTTGTTTAATATTATTTAAATAGACCTGAGATACCTTACCCCACATACTTAGCAAATGCTGCTGTAACTTGCATCCATTTTTATTAGCCCAAACTTAAATCTATACTAATTTTCAGAGTTTCTGCCACTCTCCCAAAAATCTAAATCAGTTCGCCACTCCTTATACATGGATTGCAAAACAATGTTCTTTATGTTATTATCTAGGTATCTCTCATGGCATCTCTACCTGGGTGATTATAACATTATCTCTGAACTAAAAATCTACACAGCTAATATACTGTTAATACTTTAACGCAAACAAATGCAACCCTTCGTTCTCTTTTTCCCTCTTTAGTTCTCTCTTGAGAATGACCTCAATTCCTTTAGACAATGAGCCGAAAGTCAGTTTGAGTATGTTTAATTTTAAAAGCAAGGAATACTTTGTATCAAGATCAGCCTAATGGTACTCAGAACAGGTTAGACTCATAGAAGAAAGGCTGATTTACGATGAACTTATCTGTGATTTAGCTGTAAGTGATATTTTAAACCTTCCTTTTTTTAGTTTGCACATAACAATAAAGACTGTCTACTGTGTGCCAAGCACACCACACCAGGCACTTTACAAATACCACCTCTAATCCTCACATACCAAGTACCACCAACAATCCTACAAGGTAGAAAACTGAGGCTCAAAGTAGTTCAGTGAGTTGACCAAATTCACAGTTTCTGTATCACAGAGTAGAATTTGAGACTAAATTTTCTGACTCATATCACAACATATATTGCCTTCCCCGTAATCTTCTTTTCTCAAACATTTACTTAGTACTTTCTAAACTTAAATTTTTAGTTCAGAAATTCCATCAGTTGAGTGATTAGAAATGTCAGTCCCTCATTTCAGCCAATTTGATTTTGAGCTGTACATCTGAGCCATTTGTTTTCAAGCTATTCATTTTCAAACTTGTTTTTTACTTAACTTGTTTTTTATCTATTGGTATTCAAACCAGCCATGTCTGGCAGCCAAGGCAGTGACTCTTCTAAATGGCCTCTTTGAAGCTGAATCTAAACTAATACAGTACAAATGTGATGTTCCTAAGACAAGGTTTGGCAATAATATCACATTTAAGTCACAGCAAATACCTTATTATCCAGATATTTATAAAACTACATATTTCACAGCTTGGTTTAATTTTTTGCAGCTTGTGCTAAATATTTTGCAAGGGAAAATTTTACAAAATAAAATGAGGAGAGATTATCTATAAACTAGTTCCATGTTTATTGAAAATGGTTCATATTAAGGAGTTTAACAAATATAGAAAAGAATCAAAAGGCTGACCATTTTAAGGCTTGATCATCCTGACACAATTTGAACATCAGATTTTGCTAGGATTTGCCCAGATCATCAATATTCATTTTATTTTTTTATGCTTCTGTACATTTTTACAACTCCCATATTTTTTTTCTACTCCCTATCTGGATCACTTTCGTCTTGCCTCTCCTATTTGTTCTCCCTGACTCCATTTATTTCTTCTTTCCTTCTCACATGCTCCAAGCCTTCTCATTGTCTTCTTACTGGTTTCAAGTGGCTTAACATGAAATAACTGAATTAACAAAGTGATCAAAATGGTAAATTGGTAGAAAATGGAAATGGAAAATGGAAATTTCTGGACATCCAGAAATTTCTAAAGGTAAAGGAGGCATTAGTTTAAAAGCTGTAAGACCATGAGTCAGGCTAAGGAACTGGCATGACCTAATTGTACATCAGAGAACGGTAAAAATAATGCCAATGATCACTATAATGCTAAACTGACGATCTAGTTTTACAATTTTTCGGCCAGTTTACTTCACTATGTTTTTATATGGTATATTTCTTTTGAATTGGAGCAATCAAATCTTCCTAAAGAAAAACAAAACCTTTTAACCAGGATGTTTAAAACTTACAAAGTTTGGGCTTCCCTGGTGGCGCAGGGGTTGAGAGTCCGCCTGCCGATGCAGGGGACACGGGTTCGTGCCCCGGTCCGGGAGGATCCCACATGCCGCGGAGCGGCTGGGCCTGTGAGCCATGGCTGCTGAGCCTGCACGTCTGGAGCCTGTGCTCCAGAACGGGAGAGGCCATGACAGTGAGAGGCCCGCGTACCGCAAAAAAAAAAAAAAAATTACAAAGTTTTTTGTTGTTGCTGTTGTTCACTATTTCTAAAAACAACTCAGTGATTTAAATGTAATTTTAAAATTTAGAATTTAGCAAGAAGATTTTTAATAATTTTGTACTCCAATAAATCTTGAAAACTCCTTAAGATTTTAAATGTTTATTTATCCTTGGAATAAGTGGGAGGTGAGAACTATTCTTCTGATAGTCATATTTTACCCTTCACTCTAAGTATAAAATTATGAAGCCCTCTACAGGCTGGATTTAGACTTTCAAAAGCCGTAAACGTCCAAAGCCCTAAATACAGAAAAGATTATGACGTCTTATATTGTTCAAATGAAAAACAATAATGCACTGTAAAGTAAGTTTGAGGATATCCAACTAAGTTCTTTTTTTAAAAAATTTATTTATTTAATTAATTTATTTATTTGGCTGCGCTGGGTCTTAGTTGCAGCACGCGGGATCTTTTAGTTGTGGCACGCGGGATCTTTTAGTTGCGGCATGCGGGTTCTTTAGTTGCAGCATGTGGGATCTAGTTCTCTGACCAGGAATCAAACCTGGGCCCCCTGCATTGGGAGCACAGTCTTAGCCACTGGACCACCAGGAAAGTCCCTCCAACTAAGTTCTGATTCACTTCATGATGACTATGTCAATGCTTTTTAAAAATACCACACCATTAAGTTCCTTTTTCTCCACACTCTCTCCAGAATTTATTATTTATAGACTTTTTGATAATAGCCATTCTGACTGGTGTGAGGTGATACCTCATTGTGGTTTTGATTTGCACTTCTCTAATAATTAGCGATGTTCAGCATCTTTTCATTTGCCTGTTGGCCATCTGGATGTCTTCCTTGGAGAAATGTCTATTTAGGTCTTCTGCCCATTTTTTGACTGGGCTGTTCATTTTCTGAGGAATAAGGAATTCAAGTGGCTGGCTCAAGAAATGTAACAAGCCGCTGGCATGGAAGGTTTAATAACATTCCCCCATACTTATGGAGGACCTCAGATCTTTCAGAATGTTTTCAGAGAATTCTTTACTCTGACCCTCAGAACAACTAAGAAAGAAAGGGAGCTGAGCAATCATAGTTCTACTTTAACAAATGGATAAATGAATTATGGCAGGCTCAGATGACCTGCCCATAGTCAAAGGACATGTATGTAATGGAGGCCAGCCACGATCCCAGGCAGTAAGTGTTCTGTCCATTTGACCTCCCAGCCTTACGCCAAGCACTAAACTAGAGTAGACCAGAAATGGCCACAAGCAGAACTCAGCTCGTTGCTTCTGGTTTCTGACAACTTCCTTCTTTTTCCTCTTCTCTATCCTGTCACTCTTAGTTTCATAGGAACTGGCAGATCAAGATTTATTTCAAACAAGTGAAACATACAGAAAGAAAGGAGAAGACCTTCCTTAAATATACAAACCCTGATTCTCAGTCTCTAGTTTTTCCTTTTTGAATGACTGAGATTCAACATGTACTGGATTGTAGTTGTAGGATGAGGGAAAAGGTTGAAGTTCAAAAAAGCTTTAAAATAAGCTCTGTTGAAATGATCATGAAAAACATACCATTTTTAATTTTGGCAAATATAAAATTTCCAAACTTATGTTCAAAGACCACCAAAGGTACAGAAGCAAAGATACCAGATATAAATAAAATTAACCAGAACATTTATTTCAACTGTTTAAAATCATAAAAGCAAAATATAAATTATAATTACTTAAACATGGTAATAAAAAGAGAAATATTGGTTAATGGAAGCACTAGTCTTATCTATAATAGCTAGAATTTTTTTAAACTCTTTTCTTTAAAAATTAAAATTCATACTTGAAGTTCCTTTGGTTTATTATTATTTTCTAGTGTATATTGAAACCTTGATGTTAACACGTCTTTCATTTCAGAAATATGAAGCTAAAAGCACCATCTGAACATGCTAGTCAAGAAATAATCAAGTGTCACGAAAAGGAAATAATACAAAGTCTTTAGGATTTTACTCATATTCATAATCCTACTTCATCTTTCCTACAACCCTAAAAGAAAGAATTTGACCTGTCACTTATAAAATCAAATTTAAGAGACAACAAAATTTTTAAGTGATGTAAGAAATCATAAATTTTAAGATTTGGAAACTTTACTAAAATTTTCCTTCTGTAAAATGAGAAATAATCATAGCACTTTCCTCACAGTATCTTTCTGTGAACTACATGTCAAGTACTCAAAGATTACATGGCAAGTGCTCAGGTCTGTGAAGGGTACAAAGCAAGTGAACAATAAATGCTAGCTAACGTTACTCACCAGCACTGCAATGCCAGTGTAAAATACTAAAATATTTCTATAGCAGTTGACAAATAGCTGTTGCTCCAGCTTCCAAGATCTCCCGCATCATGACTCTGGTAGCCTCTTCCCCAACCAGAGCTCCCACCACCACCACATACTGTGTCCTGATCCAGCCATGAAAAAGTTAGTTGGAGGCTTTCAGAGCCTGTCCTATTTGTTAGTACCTCTACGGTTGGTTTGCTAAATATTTTAGATACTATTCCTGGTTATTTTTAATACTTATTGATCTTGGGTCAGTCTGCCAGAAGTCAAAAAGAGTTAAATAAACATGCGTAAGGCAAAACCATGGATAAGGTAGGTCAGGTTGGACATTATAAATCTAGGTCCAAAAAAATCAATGAAATCCTGAAATCCTACAAACCTTGTGATAACCACATAGTTAAGATTTTGATAAACCACCTTCCAATGGTCTTATTTCCATTAGCAGAAATAAAAACTGTTAATGTATTGGTTTATAACCTTGCAGATGTTTCTTTAATGAATATTTACATATGTATTTACTTTTTAAAAACCAAAATATGATATAGCATATTAAACATTCTCTTTTGTAACTTCCTTTCTTTTACATATGATGTAAACATCCTTCTCTGTCAATAAATACAATTCTACAAATGTACAAAAAAAATCTAGTACTGGAAGTATAGAATTCTGACATGGATTTTTTTTTTTACCACTCTTCTATTGCTACATACTTAAATTACCTTTTGGTGTGAGAAAAAAAAAACAATGAAAATCTAACATTAAAAAAAAAATCAATATAAAAAAAAGTTTTAGTGGAAAACATGAATAAATGTTTTTATCTTAGAATGGGGAAGGCATTTCTCAACGCAATTCAAAAGATTTTGAAGCCACAGAGGAAAAGTCTAACCCATTTGGCTATGTAATATTTCTATACGGGGGAGAACTTTTGGATGATTTTTCCAAAAAAATCACAAATAAGGTTAAAAGACAAATCTAGAACTGGGAAATAAAATAATAGCAATATTTGACAGAAAAAAAAAATAATGTCCTAATTCCCAAACTCATAAAAATGAATATTTAAAGAATAGAAACAATTCAAGGCTGAAAGTAAGCAATACAAATGGTCAATAAACATTTGAAAAGCTGACCAAGCTTACTCATAATTAATTGCCAAATACTAAAAATTTAATAAGGCCCAGTGTTGATATGGTATGTAGGGGAAAGGGCTACTGAAAGCATTAAGGAGATCAGTTGTTTGCAAAGGTCTATCAAAAATTAAATACACATATCCTCTGATAATTTCCCTTCTGAAAATTATTCTACAGATATATTCACACAAGTACAATGTGTTATTTGCAAAACAAAAATTTTAAATATCCCAAACGTCAATCAATAGGGGACTGAGTAAATAAATAATGTGCCATTTTTACCTTAGAATATAACACAGTTCTTCACAAAATTAAGATCTATGTACTGATACAGAAGAGAGTCCTAAGATAACTATAAAAGTTCTAATCCTATAGAATAGTATTGGAAAAAAGCACACATAAGAAACTGCTAATAGTGATTGCTTCTAGGGAGCAGAACTATTTTCATTGTATAGGAATATGTATTACTATAGTCATTATAATTTTTTAAATTTTTTGAAAGGAAAAAAATAAACATTTCCAGAAGGAGAACTGTCAAAGGGAACGTATGATTTTCACATAGCTGTAAGTTTAGACTGCTCCTATATCTCCTACTGTAAAACACTCTGAGTTGGGATATTAATGATTTCTTGCATAATTGAGCATAGGACGATAACAAATGTGTGCTACTTAATCAATGTCACACATATTACCTAAATCAAATTAAGTATTTTAATAGAAAATTAATTTGCAGAAATAAAATATACCCACTCCTGTATAACACAGGGAACTATACTCAATATGCTGTGATAAACCATAATGGAAAAGAATACTAAAAAAAGAATGTCTCTATGTGTATAACTGAGGCACTGTGCTGTACAACAGAGATGGCACAACATTTTGAATCAACTCTACTTCAGTTAAAAACAAAAAATTACCCACTCCTCTTACCTGCCATGGACCCAGCCATTAATCTGTGTACATGACCAGAAACTCCCAGTTTTGTAGTAATTAACTAGAAACCAAAAACATCAAATTATGCACTTTTACAGAAGCAATCTTGCCAAATGTACTATATTACACATTGATGACCACAAATACTCAAAGTGTGAATGGGAGTAGTAGGAATAAAATGCTACTATAGACAGTGAAGTCTTGATACTGCTTACTTTTCATTTTAAGATACCCTATGATAATTTTTAAAAAATTATTCTTAGGATACCCTATGAAATTTAATTCATTAAACTCCTTTCTGTGTTAAGATGTTTGAGAGAATAAACTTTCAGCCAGCCAGAAAAGAGAGACTTAGTATGATGAGAAAAGCTGTTAACTTACAGCATTACTCAAAAACAGACTTTCACAATATGGTCTCACTAGTTTATTTAATAAGAAAATCCAAAGTTGCAGTGTTCCTCTCCTACAACTGAGAAACAAAAAGCATATCAAAAAGCTATTAATATTTTATGGATTTATTATTAGCTACTTGAAGGATACTTTGGCTCTTCTTCGTAAGTATGAACATAAACAATTTACTCAAAAATGACTAACAATCCTGGAACAGATAATTCCAAAACCAAGTAAAATTAAAAACTTAAACTATCACAAGCCTTAGTCTTTCAAAAAGGCATTACTTATCCATTCATCCAAAGTAACTTTAAAGGTCAAAGCAAATGCCTTGTCAATTAAGTACGATATTCAAAGACACAAAAGAGGAAAACAAGATAAAGTTTCAAGTACCGTTTTATAATGCTCAAATGCCATAAACTGGATTGCACCATAAGGAAAAATTCGAATCATCATTGCACCATTCCCTTTATACAATCCAAGGTATCCCTCCTTTTGGGGAACAGCACGCAATGCAGAAAATACTCCTATTTTTAGAAAGATTTTTAAAAGAAAAATACTATTAAAACAGAGAAAACTACCTAAATTCAAATTTTCATGACAATCACAGATAAAGATTACTATGCCATCATTCATGATATAATTTTGTTTGAGGAATTACATGAATAGTAATTTCTGTATAACAGTTAAAGCTACTTAAAATACATCATATGTCCAAATTATGTAAATACTCCTCATGTAAAAATATAAAACATACTATAGCAAGAACAGCTACAAATTATAGTAAATTATATTTATAATTACTGTAAATTAATTAATCTCTAGAAACCTAAAAGAATATTAATAGAAATATAGATAATGCACTGCGGATGACTATCTGGAAGGACGAAGGAAGGTTTCCCAGACTGACCCAGATACCTGTGTGGTTTGTTTACGAAAGAAGCTGCTAAATAAAAGAAACAAATAAAAAACCTACCAATTAAAAAACTATTTAAATTGGGGGGCAAATTTTCATTAGTAGTACACTTTAATTAGGAATAGAGATAAACAAAGGCCTGAGTTCTAATCTGATATACTGATATGTTTATTATTCTAATAATGTCAATCACTAATCCTATTTGCAGTACAGACTTCTACATTCCATTATTAAACTATTTAAATTCAGGTTCCTTTCCAAATTTTTCAAACAAAAATTAGATCAAATATGAAGGTTAATCACTGGGCTCATTTCAAATTTTAGAATTCAAGTAACCTTTTGATCCCTTCACAGAAATCAAAACTGTAGGTACTTACTAACAACATCCAAGAAAAGATACACTCTAAAAGCATTTTTAATAAGCAGATATCTAAGTGGACTAATAATGTGTTAAAAAGAATTCTATTTGGGTTGTTCCCTGCTGGCCTAGTAGTTAGGATTCCAGACTTTCACTGCCATGGTCCGGGGTCAATCCCTGGTCGGGGAACTGAGATGTTGCAAGCCACGTGGCGCAGCCAGCGGGGAAAAGAAAACTAGAATTCTACTATATATATATATATATATATATACACACACACACATACAGCTATATGTATAATATCAAGTTCTTCCAAAATACATGAATAATACAGCTAAATATATTAACCCCTCCCTAAAAAAAAGTCTATCAAAGACATCCTCTTGCTGGAAGAGAAGAGTAATGATAAGCTCAGTTTAATTTTATTTAAATGTGTTTGTAACAATTTAAGGGTAATCAAACTTAGAACAGTGGCCACCTAGCAGGAACAGGAAGGCTAATGATGAGAGAGAGTACAGAGGAGGTTTCAACTGTACTGATGATGTTTATTTCTGAAGTTCTGTGCAGCTCCCCATATGTTTATTATATTACTCTCTAAAACTCTTTGATTGTTACAAATATTTAAAGAGAAATCATTAGTAGAAGTGAAATAAAGTTATTTCAAAAAAAGGAAATCCAGGGACTTCCGTGGTGGTCCAGTGGTTAAGCCTGCGCTTCCAGTGCAGGGGAGCACAGGTTCGATCCCTGGGCGGGGGAGAACTAGGATCCCACATGCCGTGGGGCCAATAAATAAATAAAATTTTTTTTAAAAAAAAGGAAATCCAAGGAACAAGGAGCAGGGGAGGATGGCTGGGGAGGATACAAGAAAAGCACAATGAACAGAAAATATAAATCTATGATTGAAAAAAAAAATCTAAAAGATATAAATCCGGGACTTCCTTGGTGGTCCAGTGGTAAAGAATCTGCCTTCCGGTCTTCCCTGGTGGCTCAGTGGTTGGGAGTCCGCCTGCCGATGCAGGGGACGCGGGTTCGTGCCCTGGTCCGGGAAGATCCCACATGCCGCAGAGCAGCTAGGCCCGTGAGCCATGGCCGCTGGGCCTGCGCGTCCAGAGCCTGTGCTCTGCAGCGGGAGAGGCCACAACAGTGAGAGGCCCGCGT